TAAAAATCTAAAAATCATCATGGATGTTCTACAACAAGAAACTCCTGGAGAATTTATAATGTCACAAATTTTGAGATGATTATATAGTGCAGTCAGTATGAAGTTGATCATTTTAATTTAAAGTTTCGATTTCAAGTAACATGTGGCTTTCCCTGAACAGCAGCAAGATAGGAATCATAGAGAGAAGTAAATTTCTCCTTGAGCCGGAAAAGATATTTCTTTATGAACTTCTCCTCCGATAGTGGTACGACGGATGGTAGACTATGTCCTTCATCCAGCAATTTATTCTGCTTAAGAAAATTCAAAACCTCATATCGAGGTCTCAGCCTCTTCTCCAAGCTGTAAGTAAGAATCATGGGACGGGAAATGATATATGTCAGCTCAAAACCAGCTTCCTTCATCAGGAATGTCATCTTGTCACATATGGTCTTGTTTGAGAGTGCCCAAACGTTTGGGCACTTCCTGAATGCAGCAATGATGTCAGGCTGGGAACACCCAAAGCTCATCAGAGTTGCACTGGTAGAATCAAAACTAGATTTGTTCATGCCCATGACTACATGAAGTGCACACATATATACTCCAGAGTCACGTGGGACACCCAATTCCTCAATATATTTGATAACCTCCTTTAATTTGTCTATTCGACCAAAAGAGCGTGGCAATGTCGTCACCATATGCATGATACGCTCGTCACTGATGCCATGTTCCCTCAAGAGAGATATATTAGGTTCTATCGTCCGAGCCAAGCTATAACCAAGAAGAAACTTGTTCCTCTTGCAGGCTTTCAGAAGCCTCTCATTCGAACCTAATAGTGACCTCCAGAAGTTGATCCTCGGTTTGATGTCAAGTAATAGGAGCACATGAGGACATAATGAAACCAGCTCAACTATTTCAGTGTCAGAAAATCCCATGTCCTGTAAAGATCTCATCCTGGGCTTCAGGGCAGTCTCTACATTAGCATGCAACAACTTGGGTGACCTCTTGGTAAGCTTCATAACTTGTGCATCACTCCAACCACTCTGCTTAAAGAACTCAATGGAAGGACTTGAACTTGGAAGTTTTTTTTCACAGATGCAACCCTCGGCCATTTTTGCAGCCTCTTTTGAGGAAAGTTCACATGACGGAAGGGGTTCGACCAACATAAATTTGGATCTATGATTTGAACTGTGGTCTTCGGCAGTGGAAAAGCTAAACAGACTGCAGAGTTGATAGGAGGAAAGATGGATGGTGGGCTTGTTACACGAGAGAAGGCAAAAGAGCCTCTTCTGCACCAAAAACATTGTCTTTTGAGTCAGTATCACGTACTGTTTGCAGAAAAATACAAGAAAAGTCTTATTTCGGCCCTCTCCAATCCAAATTCCTCCTCTGCCTCAAATCAAGGATGTTGAAAACTTTCAACTAATCATCTGTCTCAGACAACATTCCTCCACCACTCATGTTAATCCACATGCATTCAGTTCCAATCAGCCATTTCTTTCAGAGATAAGTCTCTAGATTAGTTACTCATTCTCATGCTCACATCCAAGAAATTCTCCACCACTGAAATAATGGCTTCAAAAAACACCTTCGCACTGACACTAAATTCCACTTATTTTTCTATTGTAGTTGGTGGGTTTAGACCCTACCAAGCGTCCTATATCTCTGTAGCAATTAAAAAACCATATCAAATGTATTTTCATCAAATTTATAGAGTATACTCATGTTTATACTAATAGGTTGAACATCAATGACTTGCAAAGGGTACTACAGAATTCAGAATAACTGGAAGATGAATAATGTTTTCTCTAACATCAGATTCGCTAATGTCCTACAACTAAAACCTGAAACATTTCAAATCAGCACTTCCAGAGTAATTGATCCATTTCATCATGAATGCCAAGAGATGATCTAGTTATAAGTCTAGCAAAACCGGTCAGTAGAAAAGACACTGTTTAATTAATCAATAGCAGTAATTTGTGAGGTTCAACATGCTAAAAAAGGCATTGCTGATGAAGATGTGCAACTTGACAAAAGAAAACAACATAGCGGGAAGACCAGAGAAAGGCAATAAATTTTCTGAAAAATGAATAAAGAGAAAACTGCCTCAATCAAGAAATGCTACAGTTTATTTGGCTCTATGCTGATAAAGGAACGTAAATTATGAGAAAGATGCTCATGTAAACAACTTCAACTACAGTAGAAACATTATATGTAGCCTCAGCTACATATCATTAATGAAGAAAAAAAGCCTAGATCGGTGGAGTTGCCAATAAAACCAGCAAGTGCAAACAACCACAATAATAACAAAAGCCGTGATGTCCAAACTATTCACGATCAGCTATATGGATCTTTTGCATCATTGAACTCTGTGTAAGAAAATATCTGAAGTTAAATTAAGAGCATTCAAATCTCTTTCTATTGTTACCAGTAAAGTCCCCTTCATATCATCAACTAAACCAGCAAATACAAGATTTGACAATTCAAATTTGAGCAGGCTTGCGTGTTTTGAGGCACGAACAAGTCTTAAGTGGTGAAGATAGTTGCTTTCAGCACTACAGCAGAGAACACACAATGTTGACATAAAGGTGTAAGGTTATACCTAACCAAATACATTGAGATTTTGGTTCTATTATGATTTATATTTTTATCATATGTAAATTAGTCAGGGATTGTTATATATAAGGATTTACTAAAAAAAGGGGAAAGAAATGTCGGGAACAGTTATGGAAACTACTTGCAGTTTAAAAACTCATTTAATGTGCTGTAATGGTTCAAAAAGTCATAACTCTTCAGGATAACTGAAAGGATGTTTTAGCATCCTTTCAATGTCTAAATAAACTCCGCTATATTGAAGAGTAAAGCAATAAGAAAATTCTAGTGCAAACAAAGTACTGAATTCGGTCTTTCTCTTTATTTTCTAGTTGAGTTTTGATTCTTCAAGTAATCAAAAAGTGCAATCTTGATTATTTCAGGGAATAGGCATTGTATCCTTAGAGATAGAATTTCTGTGAAGCCATCTGCATCGTAGTGGGAAAATTATCTATCTTGAAGATAGTTCCCTAGAAATGCCTTGCCTAATTTTGTTTTGTTCAAGTTTTACTCAGATCTGTATTTCTACTACAACAACTGTACCAATGTTCAAGAACAAAACAAGATAATTCATGTCATAGGAAATTTGAAATGTCAGATAAAATTATTTTGAATACCAAAATGACTAATGTTTCAACAATGTAAAAAATGAAACCACAGTATATTATGACTGCCAAGGCACATATCTACCATCTCATTGCAAAGAAATTAAAATGAGAAAAAATGGAAAGAAAAATATAAGCACA